CCTAATTAAATCTAATCTAACCTAGATTAAAATTTAAATATTTCTTGTTACTAACCATTTACTAAGCATTTTTATATTTTTGGAAAATCCATCAAATTATAATAAAATACACCGGCGCATCTCTTCAATCCGGAGGATTAACATTGATAGATTAGCGCAAATCAAATAAATTCAACGAATTAGTAGAGAAAAGTTTACGATCTCTTAATTGCGTTCTTTTTGTATAAATAGGTATTTAAACCATTTTGTCATTTAGTTATAATTTACATTTTAGTGTAAGATATTCCATTTGCAAGTTCCAAGAGAGGAATTTTTCAATCAAAATGTATGTGCCGAGCATATAAAACACCAAAAAAGTGTTACGTATGTAATATATCGTTAAAAATGTTTATGAACTGTGTTTAGAACTTTCTGCATTAGATGCAATTGAGGAGTTTGATGCAAGAAGGATACAGCTCCATTTTTGATAATTGTTGGGAAATTGAAAAAAGTTTTAATAAAAGTTTTTATTTTAAACTGAAACACGAAGTGCCAATCGATAAAAGAGAAGTTAATTTAATATTTAAAACTATTTTAAATACTTTTTGGAGAATTTTGAAAAATAAACTGGAGCTGCATCTTTCTTGTACCAAACACTTACTATAGTTTTATTTTTGGCGAAACAAACAAAATTTCTAGTGAAAACCCTTTATTAGGTAAAAAAGTCAAAAGAATATAGATCACCAAATACAAAAAAAATCAATAAAAATACGCAGGTTGGTATGAAAAAAACAAAAAAACAAAAAAAGGTAAATCAATATTAAAATAAAAATTGAAATAATGAACACACGCGAACATACACTTTATTCATCTACCTGGAGACAAATATAATTGAAGAGACTTGTTTCCAGTGTAATGCGACTAGAGCCTTGGAAAGCTTTTGATATGCAAGCTCAAATTTTGATTTGAGGCTAGATCTATTTTTGTGTTTTCCTTTGTTACTAACTGTTGCTGTGATATTTCTGCCACGAAAACTTTGTGCAATGAGGTCTATACGTTCTATAAGGTCTATGATATAAATTGAATCAAAAGCATATAACGCACTTTAATGTTATAAAAACTAAAGATTACATTTCATTACCCAAATTTAATTAATGCCTTAAACCTCGAAAAACCAATACATATAATATTTTATAATATAATTTCGTGTCGAGCGATAATACCAGACTGACTAGCTTCATCGCCTCGTTCTCTCATCTCATTTCTGTGCAAGCCGGCCGATCTAAGTCAGATTTTCCAAAATGCGATTCTGCCGGGTGTCCCTTATCGACGTGTTGTTACAAGTTGGCCAAGTCTTAGAGTTCTTCGAGTTCTTTCAATGGCAGCAGTTTGAATTAACTCTCCCAAATAGGTATATTGCAAATTTTTGTTGCCTATCTTGCTGAACTTTTCTAGGACAGCGTTTCTTGTTTCTTAATCACACAATGAAAACACTTTTTGTATTCCATTCCAGTTCGTATACATTCTTCCTTCTGCAACAGATTTTTTATTAACATTTCTTCTCCATTCAACAGGATTTGCCAACTTTCTATTTTTAGTGCAGGAACTGTAGGCTCCTCTGTAGGCACATTGTTACCAACCGATTCATATGGATTGTTCAGAGATACGTTTTTTGTTTAGACGTTTCTTTCTAAACGAAGGTCCTGCAATATCAATATTAGAACTTTCGTCAGAGCTTTAAGGTTCATAATATGGTGAGTCACTAGCACTAACTGTGCCTCTGACTCAGTTACACTCATTTTAAGAAAGCGGTATCAAACAACAAAACAACGTAAAAAACAGATTAGCTTGCATTTCACGAAACCCAACGAACACACACGATCGTTTGGTGCAAAACAGATGTAGCTTATTGCACCCTTATTGCGTTCATATTTTTAATTTTAATAAAAACATAATTATTATTACACAAGCTGGCAACATTGCATGTATTTCTACTAAAGAGTTCTGTATACGAAAAGATCTACGAAAACTACGAGTTCACGAGTTCTGTGAAATATATAAAAATGTTTCTCAAAAATTCGTGTTGGATGTTTTGAAATTGAGATTATTTTGTGTTTTTAGGTCGGTTTTTAATAGTATCTTTATGTTTTGGGGACTTATTTGTTTATTTTAATGAATTGCTTGTGAAATATAAGTAGTTATATTTATTTAGAAATACCTACTAATATAGTATTTATTATTATATAAATTCATATGGAACTCATGGCACACACAGATAAAATAATCATTTTTTCCTTTTTTAAATTCGATAAAATTAAAAGTATATTGTTTAACTTGTTAAACGACTTATATAAATTAAAAATGTAAAATAGGTAGCTGAAGATGATCATCTATTATAATTCGCCGTAAGACTATGATTTACAATTACTCGTCGGGTCCTTTTAACAATCTTGCCAAATTTTCTTTTATATTTTTCGGTGTACATTTCAGTGTACATTTCGCCCACCGAAAGTACACAAGTAGAATTTAAAATTGACTTCTTACAACTATGAAAATCTTAGGAATATTCTGTTAACCGGATAATATACAGAACATAATTAACGTAACCAGTGGATTTGGCTGGTTGTTAAAAAAATCCCTTCCTAGTAAAATATCAACAAAATCCTTTTTTTAAAAAAAGAACACAATTCTTCGGGTTAACCCTTAGAGGACGGCTATGTGATTTGGACAGAAAAAATTGATGTTTTATTTATTTTTTTACAAACATTTGAAAAAAGTGGTGGCTCAACAGTTTAACCACTAGGGCGCAACTGGCGCAACTCTTTGCTATGATATATTTGGTATATAAGCATAGCCCAACTGTACAAGTGGAACAGTGCCATTTGATATGATGAGGTTTTAACTTGGTACTACAGTTGGCACATCGAACGCTAGTGCCATATTTTGGGAAACGAGCAGCTTTATCTGTTCTTATTTCTATTGGTACACGTACTTTGAATGGATTTTCTGCAGTTTGACTTCTTCTTGTCTCCGACACACTGAGGTTAGCTCCAAAGAAACCTGTTACTACTGACAATTTGAACTCCTTCAGTGGCATGAGAGTACCATTAATATTTTCTTCATAAATCATATAAGCATTGACTATTGTCAAATCAACGAAATGCCAAAAAAATACAGTGCCACCATTTTTTTGACTTGCAATTAAGCTCATAGCATTTTTTTTAGCATATAAGATTTATCAACATAACCCATATGTATGTTGTAATCTCTTACTTATTTTATAAAACTGATTTCTTTTGAACTGCCATCTTTTTGTGTTCTATTTACGGTATCATCATCAGTTGGGTTATAAAAATTACTTAAAAATACAATTGGCTTGTTGTCCATCCACTGAACAGCTACTATCCCATTATCGCTTATTCTCCAATCAGACTCTTCTGATCATCTGTTTTTTTTTTGTTTGGTGAAGGACTGGGGAATATGTTTTCTATCACTTCTTGCAGTTCCACACGCGTATATCTGATCTTGCAACAGATTAGGATTAGATTGTTGAAGTAATTATCAATTATCTTGTCAGATCTCTCTGTCTTTTCCAATATATATTTGAAATTGCGAAATATATCCATTTTTGTTTGCTCTGACCCACATTTTATATCCTCGTTTTATGGGTTTTTTAGATATGTATTGGCGTAAGCTACTTCTACCTTTGAATTTGGTCATAGATTCATTTACGGACTGCTCTTCGTTTGGTAAGTAGCTATTTTTATAGGTGTTTGATAATTATTCCAGCATCGGGCCTAATTTATAGAGTTTGTCATAATTTTGACTACCTTTTTTTAGGCTCTAAGGAATTGTCGTTGATGTGAAGGTTTGAAAGAAGCCACGAGAATCAATCAGGATGAAACAAAAAGTATCACGTAGCTCTATTCAAGAATAGAGCTACGACCAGTAATCTTTGTAACTTGGCATCATCATATTTATTCATAGAAAGCACTTCAGTTCATTTACCGTTGTTGGTTTTTTTATACTATTTTTATTCTGGACAACATAAAAGATAGTCTCGAATTCAATTTTTTCTAACAGCTTCTGTGGAAATAAATGAAAAAAAAATCTGCGGGAGTTTCCAAATCTGCTGGTGCTGTTGGACCAGTGGTTTGTAAAAAAGGCAATTTCTTTGTTACTCATTCAATACTCTGACTCCACTATTATTTCAATTTTCTGTTTCTTTTTTTTTCGGTTCTCTCTGTTCACTTCGTTCTTGTTTCTCTCCTATATGATCTTCTTCTTCTATACGATCTTCTTCTTCTATACGATATTGCTCTTCTTTACCATCTTCCTCTTCTGGACTATCTTCCTCTTCCAAGTCTTCCAAATCTCCATCTTCTTCCAACCAATCTACATTATTATCACAAAATTCAATTCAATTCATCAGATGCGTCAGAACCTTCTGAAGGAATATAATCTAGCATAAGCTTGATCGCTATTTATTTTATTGATCTTTAATTTTCGACTCATTTTGAATATCTGAAACAAAGTGTTTCTTTAGCCCTAGTTGCCCTAGTGGTTTAATACGAAACCACCAATCAAATTATAAAAAAGTATTAGAATTTTTAATAGAAATGGACATTTTCTTGAAAAATCAGTAAATATGTATCAAAAACTAATAAACTATTGACATCTTACCTGATTTTTGAAAAAGATTTCAACACAAAAAAATTAAAAGGCGTGTAAACAAAATCGTCAAAAACATACTACGCGAATTTCTTGTTGAAACATGTCTAGTTGTGAATCATTTGTGAAGGTCGTTTGCGTAAATCGCGACTAGGAGGCAAGCTACAAATTTTTAAAAAGGTGTTTTTACAGTGGGACGACTAGGCCGTAAAGGGTTAAAAACTTTTATAATAATCCCAATATGATAACCACAAAATTGATCAAATAACTAAGTTACTTTACAATACCCAACAAAAGCAAAAATACATTTTTAAACGTTATAGAGCAAAAAAAAGTGTATAGCTACTCACCATTTCTGGTTGTTGACGACTTGCGGATCACCAGGTCTTCTAATTGACACCTTCTGCGAAGCTACTCGCTTTGGTTCCGGTACTCCGGGTTGAGCTGATTCGCACCTGACGTCAATCTCGTTGCCATGCGGCGCTCTTTTGTCTACAGTGAACCGCAGCGTGACCGTGCGTGCTATCAATCCCATGTGATCCGGTTCTGAACTGGAGGTGTGAGATATGGAATGCTGAGGAGGCTGAAACAACGAAACGTAAGGTCAGATTCATATAGCGTGAAAAGAGGTAATGTTTGCTATTAGCTGCCTTGTTACGATACCTGATTAGGATTACCATCTATCCCAGTATATCGAAACTGTGACAGTTATTGACCTTCATGTCGCGATGTCTCGACTATATTATAAAATGTCCTACTTCTGAATAAGAATGAACGTCATTTAACAATGCCAATATAACTTTAAACTAACATGCGCAGAATTTTATAAATATATAAAACTCAAGAGGTTTTAAGTCCAGCATAATCCCCTTAAAAATATTTTTTAGTCAAATTTAAGTACTTCTTAATAAGGTTGGCAACACGAGTTTTCCGATATTACATGGCGAAAATAATTGATTAATCAATCAACATTCATTAGGTTGTTTCGTTTAATTTGTTATATAATTAAATTTCTTTAAAATTTACAAGAAACAGTAATATACATTACTAATGAGTTAGTTTTATAACTAATTTATTGTACTAGTCTTCAGATTGAGGTGAGAATTCAAAAACGTTTAAAATACCTTAACCTTTAACCAGTAAATGTCAACAAATAGTAACAGCTCTGTTAAACTATTTTCAACAAGAATGTAAAAATGGAGGGTCAGCTTATTTCATTTACTTATACAGTATGGTTCAAATGAAAGGAATAAATTCATTATAATGGAAGTAGTTGGTTTTTCGAAAAAATGCTCGGACAGGTCAATTTTGTTTACTCAAAGCGCAATTTTTTAAATAGAATTCAATTTTCCCCCCACTTCCCCTTTTTGGGCAGTGACGTCATTGACATTTTTTTTAAATAGTAACCCCAATTTTTTTTTTCTTGATTTTGTTAGATCTTGCAATTTCCTACTCGGAAACATAATATTTGAAATATCTTACATAACAATTTTTTTTGAATAAAAGTCATTTAAAGATTAGATACATAAATTTTATTTTATTTTGAAAACACAATAACTGAATAAAAGATAATTATTTGTAATTAAGTGCTTAATCTAACAAAATAATAATAATATTAATAATAATAATAATAATAATAAAAAAGAATTTGTGAAATTGTCATTAAATTCTTTTTATTATTATTATTTTTTTTTTTTAGATGAAGCACTTAATTACAAATAATCTTTTATTAATTTATTGTGTTTCAAAATAAAATAAAATTTATGTATCTGATCTTTAAATGACTTTTATTAAAAAAAAAATTGTTATGTCAGATATTACAAATATTATGTTTCCGAGTAGGAAATCGCAAGATCTATCAAAATCAAGAAAAAAAAATGGGGGTTACTATTTAAAAAAATTGTCAATGACTGCCCAAAAATGGGAAGTGGGGGAAAATTGAATTCTATTTAAAAAATTGCGCTTTAAGTAAACAAAATTGACCTGTCCGAGCATTTTTTCGAAAAACCAACTACTTCCATTATAATGAATTTATTCCTTTTATTTGAACCATACTGTATAAGAGACGTACGTAATGGTATTTACATCCAATAAATAAAAATTTTAAATGTTATAATATGTTAAATGTAGTGTTAGATTCAGAGTACCTATGCTATATAAACTGTATGCATTGATATATTTCACAGAGTTGTAAATGCCTTATAATTAAGTTTTACAACGATGAATCGTATTGCAGCCAAGCACAACAGAGGTGAAGTTCATAAATGCCCACCTAAGAAGCGACAACGTTCAAAACTATTGCTTGAATTGATGTCTTTAGACTAAAATGCTTTCCGAAAAATTATTTATAAAATATTCAGAAACAGTGAGTGTGTATCAAACATACTATTGGGATCTGAAAATAAGATCGCAGCGCCGTCTGTACTTGACAGATAAACTAATTGTTGTGGCTTGTTATTGTTAACATTTTTGTGTTTGTAAATAGTCCATAAAAAATATTTTGTATGTGTTGAACATTTTCTAGGAAAAAATATGTTTGTCCTTAATTTGTAGTAATTGGACACTTTTATTTCAATAGTTTTTAGGTTAAAGTAAAAGATATATTTTTATTTGGTAAGTAACCCAATATGAATTTCGTTTTTGAGTTACCTACTTTCATTTATTTATGATAATTTTGTTATCTTTTATTAGAATATTGATATATTTAATCTATTTTCAGTGAGATATCTGATCTAAGGCTGAGGTTTATAGAAGTATATTTGTGGAAATACCAAATTTTGTTTTTAAAGGCCCTTCCTATGGGGCCTCAGTATTTCATTCGTGCAGACGAAAAAATTTTCTGACCCCCATTTTTTAAAACGTTTTTTCATGTTTCTGATCATTCTGAATCCGAAAATCCAAAAAATTTTCGTCTGGTCGTCTGTATGTATGCCGGCACGATAACGAAAGTTCTGATTGACTTGCGGTTTTGATTTTCTTGAATAATTACTTCTAACTTAGAACCCTATTGATTTTTAGAAATTTCGGTTCATCCTACTTTAATAACAATTTTCTTAAAATCCGCCTATGCATTCCTTGTCAACAATTTTAGGAATTGCAACTATTTCTAACGTCAAAATTCCTAACATTCTTCACATTCCATAAATTGCAAACATTCTCTAACGACCTGTCAAACAACAGCTGTTGATAGTAAAAGTGAAATTTCTAAGGCGGGCTGCGACCTTTATACTTGCAACCATATAGCTATTTTGGAGGCTATTTTCATTCGAAATTAGTCGCCAAGCCTGCCAATTTATATAAAATATATAAGCAGTTTCTTAAAAATGACTTTTTATGGTAGTGCTATTAAGCGTACTATTTCGCCTCTAGCAACAATAACACCATCAAATTTCTCTGTCGCAACCCCATAGAATAACTAACCGGCTATTTTATTTGGCAAAAATCAAAATAATGCTTGGCTGTACCTGTCAAGTATCAAGATGTCAACTGTGATATGTGAATGGCTCCTAAATGTAAAATTATTTAAAAATGTATACTTCTTTTGATATTTATTGCAAATAATAAATATCTTAATTCAGGCTTTCCATAAATAAAAGTACAGCAAGACAGATAATATAATGTTCTTATACAAAGCACTTTTTTATTATATAAAAAAGGTAGGATATAATGCCCATTTCAAATTTGGATCATTTATGATACCAAGGTATTTTGTTGTGTCTTTCATTTTAATTATAAAGTTGTTATTTATTTATATGTTGAAAGAAGGCCTTTGTAAACTACATTGCTCTCTATGGATCTACTTTAACAAAAAAATAGTTTTGTGGCTATAAGTTGCCATAATAATCCAAGAGCTAGTAACACAAATTTCATTAAGTGTTTGATGCACTTTGAAATTTTGTAATTTGAAATCATTTGGATGGAAAAGCAGATATACCTGTGTTGGTACTGCCCATAATAGAAAGGGGTCGTAAAATATGACCCAAAAAAAGTGTTTGATTCAGAGGCCAACAAACAACAATTGAAAGTTTAGGTAATTCTAAAAATACTAGTAATTTAGGCAGATACTTTTGAGAGGGTTAATAATTAATAAATCAACCCCAAAGTTGATTTTTTTTTCAAATATGATTTGAGGTATTTGATTCACGCTGAAATTTTAATAGCGTCTTAATTAAATATAAAAAAAAATAATTCCAAAAAGGAAGACACTTTTTCCGGGGTTTAATTGCCGGTCAACATAAAAATAAATTTTGAAAGAGTAAAACCAAATTTGGTAGATTTTCACACTTTTATTTTAAAAATAAAAATTTTTAAACAAACACTAACATGACATATGTTTCGAAGTACAACTTCTTTTTCAAATGTGACTATTTACAATTCGGTATCCAATATATATACAAAATAATTTAACAAAACAAAGTACTTAAGAAAACATCAATAACATTACAAAATAAACTAACTATTTAAAGTAAATAAGGGTACTTAGGTAATTATAATATCCATCAAATAACAATAAGATAGCCCATTACCGGGATTATCTCACAGAAAACTGGGAAAAAGGTTTAATAAGGGTGAATAATTAATATCTAATTGATCATTTAGTAAGTTATCTGAATTTTTAAATCTATTTATTTCAAGTGTTTCTAAATGGTTTAATTTAAGGCTCTTATTTTCTACATGTAAAATTTCAAAGTTGTCTGTAAAAGAATGATTTTCAGCTAAAATATGATTTGAGTAAGTAGAATTATTTTTGTTTTTTGTATAGCTATTATAATGTTCGGAATAGCGTTTTTTGAAAGTACGGCCTGTTTGACCAATATACAATTTTGGACAACTACCACAATTTAATTTATATACCCCCGATTTATTATTAGGATTAATTTTACCCTTATTGTTTTTAATATACTTCCCAAGCGTATTATTGGTTTTAAAAGCTACGTTAATATTTTGGTTTTTTAAATATGATGATACCTTTTCACTAGGAGCTCCTATATATGTAAGACTCTTATATCTGCAATTTGGATCTTTAATTAAATATATATATATATATATATATATATATATATATATATATATATATATATGTAAGACTCTTATATCTGCAATTTGGATCTTTAATTAAAGATCCAAATTGCAGATATAAGAGTCTTACATATATAGGAGCTCCTAGTGAAAAGGTATCATCATATTTAAAAAACCAAAATATTAACGTAGCTTTTAAAACCAATAATACGCTTGGGAAGTATATTAAAAACAATAAGGGTAAAATTAATCCTAATAATAAATCGGGGGTATATAAATTAAATTGTGGTAGTTGTCCAAAATTGTATATTGGTCAAACAGGCCGTACTTTCAAAAAACGCTATTCCGAACATTATAATAGCTATACAAAAAACAAAAATAATTCTACTTACTCAAATCATATTTTAGCTGAAAATCATTCTTTTACAGACAACTTTGAAATTTTACATGTAGAAAATAAGAGCCTTAAATTAAACCATTTAGAAACACTTGAAATAAATAGATTTAAAAATTCAGATAACTTACTAAATGATCAATTAGATATTAATAATTCACCCTTATTAA